TAGAAAAGGTCATGCTTATGAAAATATATTGACAGTAAAGTTATTACGATTTTTAAGGTATTATTTGTAATGTTGGTCCATTTTTAAGGTATTTTGATTCTAGCATCAATAATTTAAGGGAAAATATTTCTGCAGTTACTGTAGATAAATTATTTGTATTTACTCTCAAAATAACGTCGTTTTGTGATTGAAAAATTAAATAATTATAATTATAAAGACTATAATAACCCTGAAATAAAATAAAATTACAAAAAAACTATAATTTTCGCCCAAAACGACGTCGTATTAGGCTTAGGGCGCGCATGACAACCTTCCCAGAATCAATTTTTTTTTTTAATTTCTGTTCCTGAGAACAGAAATGGGTAGAAAACTCGTTTCGTAAAATCGGTTTATTTTTCTATTCTCGGAATGAGCCAGATTAATTTTTGTGCTGGGGAACAGAAAAAAGAATCAGAAAATTTCTGCTTTTTTGTTCCCGGGCACAAACTGAGAAACACTTATCTCTCTTAATCACTATCCATATCTACCATCATCACCACTACCACCATCATCCCAACACGACCACCGCCACCATCGTTGTCGTCGTCGTCGTACCACTAGTGTTGTCGTGACCACCCCCCACCACCACGATGTCACCGCCACCATCACCACCACCTCCACCCATCACTACCACCATGCCACCATCACCACCATCACAACTACCACCGCTGCAACCACCACCGTCACCATCACCACTACCACCATCAACCACCACCACCATCATCGCAACCACTGTATCCACCGCCAATATCGCCATCACCACGCCACTGCCACCACCATCATCGCCACCACTACAACGCCATCGCTACCATCACCACCACTATCATTACTGCAGCCACCACCGACGCCGCCGCCGCCACCGCCACCAACCACCACCACCATCGCCACCATTACACCACCCCCACCACTACTATTGTCACCTACTATCACCGCCGCAGCCACTGCCACCACCACCACCACCTCCATAATGCCATCACAACCACCACCACCATGCCACCGCTACCATTGTCGCCGCCACCAACCACCATCCCCACCACTACCGCCGTCATCGCTGCCGTCACAACCATCACCACTATCATCACCACGTCACTTCCACCACCACCGCCGTACCGTCGCCGCCGCCGCCGCCACATGCCACCCCCCGCCGTCACCACCACCACAACCACACCATATGGAAAGGAAAGTGATGATCCAAAATTGTTTTATATTTAATTAGAATTATTTTTTATTATATTATTTGTTGTGTTATGAAACAATTCTCATTCTCGGAATAAAAATAGAACATGTTATCAAACACTTTTTTTTCAGAAATTGTTCCAAGGAACAGAAATAGAAAAGAATTGCTTCTTTTCTGAAATAGTGCTAAGGAATAGAATAGTTGTCATGCACACTCTTACTGCAGATAACTTATCTACATTAATTGCAGAAAAAGCGAACCCATAATTTAGTAACATAGAAGATTTGTTTTTCTTACTAAGTTGTGGTAGGAAATGTTATACTTCTTATAAAATCTTTTTTTTTTTGGGTGGTGATAACATCTTTTTTAATTATTATTTTTATTAAGATAAATATCTCTTTAAGCATGTATTTTCAAATATAAATAACAGAGTTTAAAGTCGATATTGTGTCAAAGGAAAAAATACATATTCAATAAAATCTATATTTTTATTTAGTGATATCAAAACATAATGACGAGGATAATTTTTAAAAATAAATATTTTTTATACGTGCCCTCACTATTTATCACATTTAAAAAAAAAACAACCCATAATTTAGTAACATAGAATATTTGTTTTTCTTACTAAGTTGTGGTAGGAAATGTTATACTTCTGATAAAATCTTTTTTTTTTTTTTGGGTGGTGATAACATCTTTTTTAATTATTATTTTTATTAAGATAAATATCTCTTTAAGCATGTATTTTCAAATATAAATAACAGAGTTTAAAGTCGATATTGTGTCAAAGGAAAAAATATATATTCAATAAAATCTATATTTTTATTTAGTGATATCAAAACATAATGACGAGGATAATTTTTAAAAATAAATATTTTTTATACGTGCCCTCACTATTTATCACATTTAAAAAAAAAACTAAATTTGAAATTCTTCTCAAATCTTAATTGTTTATACTCTCAAAATAATTTCTTTTAGTTTTTTACGTTTAAATTTTTTTTTCTCCCTGAATCCTATCTTGTACTTTTAAATGAATTCTTTTTAAATTATTCTTTCGATTAAAAATACTCTTCTTTTTTTCATAAATATCCGGTAATGCACTTTCATATATTAAATTAGAGTTAATATTATTATAAAACTTTTTTTTGGCTACCAATAATTTTTAATTTTGGTTTTAAAAAATAGATGGATAATATGTCTGGTTAATTTTCAAGAGATAATTTCATGGTGTACTCCATTATTAAATGTGATCAAATTATTTATTTTGGTAATGTGCATAAGTTTTTTTTTTCTGGTAATAATTGAGGGTAGTTAGCACAGCAAAGACAATAAGTTATTTTTAATAACATGCGTCAGAATGTAGTCATATAGCTTAATAACTCATAATTGGAGAGTTATTATATAAATAATTATATTTGCAACTAGCCCCTGTCACTGTCTTAATATAAAGGAAAATCAGTTTGTCATGTCATAGTATTGTTCCATCCTGCAACAGGATCCGGTTCTATATCTTGACTTTTTTAACATTTAACATAATACGAAACTATATACTGATTTTTTTTTAAACGTGGGACTTACATTTGATTTGTGTGTGCAGATAAAATGCTCTTATCATATGACATGACAAAAAGTGAACCCTAGTATATATATCTAAATATGCCTTTATGGTGCTTCCTTATTTATCCACTCATACTTAAATTCATAATTACTGTTTAAAATTCATATAATTCATGAACTAATTTCAACGACTATATCATTTTGATAGCAATTAATGTTTTTTAGTCTATTATTTTGAATAATAAATAAGTCAATCTTAAATTATAATATTTTAAATTTAAGTAAATTACATAGAACCCCTCTCTATTTGATACCTTATCAACAAAATTACCATACATTTTCAATTAACCACTCTTTACCATGTCCTCAACTCCCCTTCACCCACGGTTGCAGTCGGCCACCGCAACCTAACCAAACTAAGACGCCACCTTTTTTAGGGTTTGAGTTTGAGGAGCTCAATTCCAATAGCATCCAACACTTAATTAAGAATCCTTTTCCAAATGAGCGTCGTTATGATATCCGGAGGCCAAATGCCACTTATAAAGGTAGAATGAAGGAATAAATGTTGGGAGTGAAAATTTTAAGTTTGTGATAAAGATGAAAATGTGAATATTGGGTATTGTTTGTTTAGCCGGGTCAATTTGTGTTCTGAGAAGCCCACACAGCCTAAGCCCATCACCACAGGCCCAGTTGCATATGGACGCCCACGTCAGTCTTACTGAATAAAGACAAGTGACGTCCTTCACCTCCTGCCCTCCCGACATGAGGGTTCCCAAGATAAGATACTTTAATGTCTTATCTTGGGATCAGGCATCTGCAAAGGGATCCTTCATAATCCTTAAATGGAAGAAATCGCTTGCAGGCATAAAGCAACGAATGCCACCACACCAACAGAGGGTGTCATTGCTGTGACCGCCTGAGTGCAGACCGTCTAGCGATTCCCAAGGAAAGTTGACCCCCCCTACACACCCACGTAAGGTAATCTCCCTCTTCCTCTATAAATACCTCCACAACACCTAACAAAAGGGATCGTTATGTACAGTCTATGATGCACGGACACGGACACGGGACACAAGACATGACACGACACGACACGCTGACACGTTAATTCTAAAAAATGTCATATTTCGACACGTTGGGACACGTTTTGATATTAAATAAAAATTTTAATATATTTAATACATATAAGAATCCATAATAAGTCATATAACCAATGAAATATTTAAATCTCATAACATAAATATAAATATAAATAATTTTTCGTACTTTGTTAATTTTTCATGTCAAATTTCATAAGTGAAAAAAATTAATTTATAAATTATTTCTTTTATATTTAGTTAACAAAATAAAATTAAGATTTTTTTTTAAAAAAAAATGTGTCCCAACGTTGATCGCGTGTCGAAAAAAGTTAACTGCGTGTCGGAGAGTTGACCGCGTATCCCCAAGTATTGATCGCGTGTCGGACACGTGTCGGAACGTATCCGTGTTGAATACATGTCCGACATGCAAAATTTTGTAAAAGGAACATGTCCGTGCTTTGGAGTGTACAGTTGCTCTGACCTTTTATATTACCTGTTCATAACTCACTAACCACTATTCCCTTCCCTCATACTTGATAGATATAAACTTAAAACGTGGCTGGCTAGCTTGGTCAGTATCTGTGCTGGTCATCTCACCCATAGAGTGACTTTACTCTCTCGTTGGGAACATATTGGGTTGGTAGAATATTTTCGGTACAATTTGCAAAGCCAAGATCTAAGCTGTTGTGGAGAAAAACGGGGTGAATATTGTAAACAGAGAAGCCTTTCATGAGAAATCAATGATTCCGGATTCATGTTATATCGATTACTCGATTTTGTTCGAAATAATTTTATATAATTTATTTTAGAAATTTTAAATTTAAATTATTTTAAATTATTAATATATTTTTTGATTCATATTTTAAAATTTTCTTTAAATTAATTATGTACACATTTTTTTATAATTTTGAACCTTCTTAATTCTTTTAAATATATTTTTTCAAATTTATGTTTATTAATGTTCTAAAGTCACAGGTGATGTTAAAGAGCGTCATGCGGCTTCCATATGTGTTCGTCAAGAACTAATTTAATGCGAGACCCGTTTTAATTTTAAAAGATAAATTTAAAATTGTATAAAGGTGATTTCATAGCACTGCCCTTTGATTATTATTACAAAATTGCCGTTCAAATTTTGGCGAAGGAAATGTTATTATCACCGTGTCGATCAATGCATGTATGATAATTCCAAACAACAAATAAGCAGGTTGTCTATGAGGTGCATCATGCACGGATTATTGAAAGACTAATATTACATGGACCACCTTTTCGAGTGGAGTGACAAGAGCTTCACAAACTCAATCACCACCTTCACTGAGTTAGTGGCGGCGAGTGATAAGAAAGTATCAACCTCGTTGGACTCAGCGGAGCCACCGCCAGCCAAGTCGGAGAGAGCCCTAATAGCAATGAAGGGCACCCTTTGTTGTAAGCATATAAGGGCCACCGATGCACTTTCCATGTCTACTGGGCTCACATGAAACTTATTGTAGATGAATGCTCTGTATGCTGCATTGTCAAGGTAGATACTTGCACTTGTTCCTCTATCCACAAGCACCACCTTCGGTGTCGTGGATAAGCATGTGGTTGAGTTTACACACGCATCTAGCTTCAAGCCCTGACAAGATATTACGAAACTTTACCACATTTTTTATACCATAAAAATATGAGATTAACTGGTAGTAGCTCAATTGGTATCAAGGGAGTTAAGTAAGTCAAAAGAAAAAAGGCATTGGTTTGTTCCCTACGATCCACATTTGGGAGGGGTTTAAATATCTCCATCCTAACCCGCCTCACACTTTGAATTAATCTCATAGCTGGCTCAAAGAGTCGAAACTTGTGAGAATACGAGAAAAGACAACTCACCTCAAAGATAGGTAATTAGAATTGGGAGAGAAAAAAAAACATGAGTCTCACATATTTTTATGTGTGGGTAAGAGATAAAATTATCTCCTACAATATAAGAAATACTAATCCCTAAAACAACACTAGAATCCTACTAAAATATCACACCAGAGTCGGCTCAAAGAGTAGAAGCTTATGGAGATACTGGGGGAAGCTAATTCGACTCAAAAGAGATAATTAGAGTTGAGTTAACTCAAATAAAAAAAAAAAAATATATATATATATATATATATATATCACACTATATTGATCAACTATTCAATTAGCCATACAAGGGTACAATTGATTACGGATTAGGCTCATACCCTATAAGGCTCTAAATTCGAATTTCACGTACCAATACGAAGATTTTATTGGTAGACGATATATAATTCCTTTCAAAAATTCTAAAAAATATGGGGGGATCTGCCATGTCCCTAATAGGACACCGTAACCCCACCTAAAATTTTCTTATTTTGGATTTCAATAATTACATTATAATTATACTAAACTACAAAAAAAGTCACTTGGTTTTTGTCATAACTAATTTTTTGTGAACATCGGCGATTTAAATGTTATTTATAAAATAAATAAATATATTATCAAACGATGACAATTCAGTTGGAGCTAAAAAACTAAGTAGGTGGGATGAGAGTATGTGTTTGATCCTCTCCAGTATCGTTTTTGGGAGAAATTTAAAGTCTTAATCTCGGGACCCATCCCGAATCGGACTAGCGCGAATCAGTGAACCGATTAGAATATCTTAAAAAAAAATAAAAAATATTCAATAAATTATTCTGGCTTCTAATCCCAAGCCAGTGAGGGTCACTTACCTCCAGTTTTCGAGCAATATGGTAGTACTTCGAATCAACAGGAACCCAAAATGCATGTTGCCTTTCTTCTGGAATGCCATCAATGGGTAAAATCTCCTCTGGTTGGTACCATATATTGTTGAGTAGGTTGTCAAATGTGCTGTCCGCACTTGCGTTTGAGGTGAAATCTGCAAATTTTAAGTACTCAACTTTTCTGGTTAAGCCTCCATTATCTAAGGGTAATGAATCATTGGGCCCTTGTCCATACCTCTGCATAATATATAACAACCCAAATCATTTTATTAATCTTTCCGGTGTCTATATAATTAATTAATTATACAATCAAATTCAAAACGATAAAAAAGAGTGAGAATCCTACTTTTTTATATTCTTTGGTGAGAATCCTATTTTATTATATAGTAATAGAATATGAAAAGAATAGTGTGTACTCTTAATTTTTTAAAGATATATTTTACATCACATTAATCTTTTATTTATAAGTGATCTTTTAATGATAATTAATGGTATTAGTTTTGTCATTTTAAGGACCAAATTAATATTAATTTATGAAGTAACTTTATGGTATAAAACCATTTTAATGTCTTTATATTTAGAAAATCAGCTTATGATACTTAAAGTTTTAAATAATCAAAATAGACATTTACTCTGTCTTTTGTTTTCAACTGAATATATATTTTGAAATTCTACAAAAAGCAGTAGATAACGAAAATATATATTTTTTATTTCACATTTTAATATATATAGTGAATGGTCTAATATTTGCACAATAAACACATCATATATAATATTTGAGTTTTGTGTAGGGAAAGAAAAAAAACAAAATAGAAGAATTATTGCAAAACCTGCCAGGTCCAAAGTGCTAAATGAGCCCAATAGTGGGGAATGGCTACGTCTCCAATATGCAAAGACGGGTTTGCATTTCCAGCAATACCGTAATGGACCACTCCTTCCACTGAGAAAAAGCTTAACAGAAGCTGAGTAGTTATAGCTGCATTTATCTACATATTTCAGTGAATTTCAGTGAGTATAAAAGGAGAGAACACTCTTTATCATTTTAAAAGAGGTAAAATTGTGTCATCATAAATAAAAGAAAGAGATAGATAAATGAGGAGAGAGTAGACAAAAAAATATAAATGTGTAAATTTCACTTCATTGTGAGAGTGAAATGACATAAATTATGTCATTTAAAAAAATAAATATTTTTTTCCATAAAAGAAATCCTAATTAATAACCCCATCTAATAGTGATCAATAGCCCAAAAAATAAAAATCAAAAATCAAATAAAACCAATCAAGACAGGTAAAAAAGAAACCGTACTTTATACTAAAAAAGAAAAAAGGAACCGTACCATGCTCTGTGCTGTCATAACCAGTACAACACGTTTGTCGCCGATGGCTCCAAAGCGAAATCTCCTTCCTTCATTATTAACCATAAAAAATAAAAGGTAAAATTGGAAGATATAAAGTAATAGATAACTGTTTCTTTCAAGATTTCATATACACGAGGCCCTAGAAAAATTACAATTATGTTGGATTGATATTTACCTGCGAAGTCTATGATGGTGTCACTTGGAGTGTAACTTGGATTCTGAAGAAGAGGGTCCAGTTCAAATGAATTTGGTATGACCAAACCTAGATAAGGTCCCTTTTGGTTGGCTTTAGCGATTTTGCTTTGCAATTCTGATGTCAAAGCACCACTTACGAATGCATGTTGTGCATTGACCCACAAAAATGCCGCAAGAAGCGTGTTCAAGACTCTCCTAGCAGCTCCCATCTTTATCCACCCAGACACACACACACAATCAAGAGAGCAAATGATCAATAACCGTTAGGACTTGAGAAATGAAAGATCGAAATGGTGTTGGTTTTTATAGAAAATTTGCTGGATGCATTTCTACCTCCAAGGGAGCGAAGGGTCAGAATATGTGAAGGGGCTTTTTGGTACAAGGATTTTATTTAGATTCCAACGAGAGTGATATTGGAATTCTATTTATCTGCGTTTCGGATGAATTTTTTGAATTTTTTCCCTTAATTCTGTTTTATGAACATTTTTTTAAGGTAAAATGTAAAATGTCATTCAACAACAATATGAAACACCGACACTTTAAAAATTCTGACGTGTCATGTCGACACTCTCCGACACTCCAACACGCGTTGTAGAAACTCAAAAAATGGTTCAAAGGTTGTGTAGCGTTGCGTTTTTAGTTCCAATTATTAGATTCGTTGGATTATGATTACCATTTTATTGAGTTTAATATAAATATTTAGGATATCTTGTATTTCTTTGTAAAATTGATGGGTATTATGAGTTTAACTTCATTTTTTTATTAAATTATTGAATATTAAATATAATATATGATACACAAATTAAAAATATTATTTAATATCAAAACGTGTCCTAACGTGTCGAAATCTAACATTTTTTAGAATTAACGTGTTAGAGTATCGTGTCGTGTCGTGTCACGTGTCCCGTATCAGTATCAGTGCTACATAAGTTAAAATTTTGAGAGCTGAGAAAATTTTTTGGCCTTTGTGCCATTAGCGACAAGTAATTTTTTCTTCCTGTATCACCATCGCAATGATGTTGCCAGTAATTTAAAGTGTTTAAGCAATATTTTCTTTCCATTCCACACCAATAATGCAATGAGGGTGCCACTAGCGCCAGTAATGTAATTTTTAAAATCACTTTATATTCTTAATAGGGTTTTTTTTTTTTTGCAGTTACTGCATATATGTTATATGTAGTTAGTCCAATACGACGTCGTTTTGAGAGTAAATGCAAATTATTTATCTGCATTAACTGCAGAAATATTTTTCCTTTCCTAATAATATTTGACAATCAAATAAACATAAAATCAATAAACTTGAGCCAATATTCATGATAATATTTTGGCCTTCCAAATGATTTTTTATTCATATTTCTAAAAAATTTAATTTCTCAATATATTCTCGATAATCATAATTTTCGAGTATAAAAAAATGTCTCATCTATTAAAGGTCTTATAGATTTGAATTTTTTTTACATAAAAAATAATAAAATTGAAAAAAATGTACGAACTTATATTTTTTAAGGAGTGATATATTACTTCAAATAAATCAATTAAGGTATTAAACTTTTATTATTGTCAATTAATGGCCTCAGTGTTATTGGAAAAATATTTTAATTAATAACATATTCAAAAATAAATAATTACCTAAATGATGTATGTATTAAGACCAAATGAGCCTGGATAAGGAAAAAAAAGGTTGGCAATGGCATTGGCAGGTGCCACTTGTGGTTGGAGTTAGAGGTGTAAATGGGCTGGGCTGGGCTGGGCTTTGGCCATCCTGGTCCAAGCCTACGTCAAAAAAAATTCAGCCTATCTGGCCTACTGGGCTATTAAAGGCTTTTATTTGTAGACCAAGCCCGGCCCATTTTAGAAAATAAGAAAGCCTGACATGGCCTACAAGCCTTGTAGGCCTTCCACTATATATACTAAGCAAAAAAATAATTGTATAGAGCAAAGAAAGTTCTATTCATGCATGCACTAGTACTTCTCATAAGAAAAAAATGACAAACAAGAAAGAGTTAACATAATACCTCAGCTCTAGAATGTATATCATAGAGGAATAAAGTCAAAGAAATGGGAAAAATAAGAAAAATACAATTACTGGATGCTGAAATAAAGTCTACAAAAGAATGTCATTCATCTAAAAATCTTTAAACCACCATCAAGACAAAGGAAAGAAGAGTATTATTGAAAGATCTTCATCAGTAACATCATAATCAAGCAAGGTACCCATTGCTCCATGGTACTAAGCTGCAACAACATGTAAAATTTGGAAACATTAGACAAATTTTCCTTTCATAAAATAAAACAAGCACAAAAAGTAAGAGATATTGGTATTTGGTACTTTGTGTCTTTGCCACATAAAATAAATATTATTTTATTATTTTATTTTAATAAATTAAATAGGCCAGCCTACAAAGCTGTAGACCGAGCTTGAAAAAATTGGCCTATGGCCTATTTATTAAAAAACCTTTTTTATAAGCCTAAGTCTACTCTACTTTTCTGAAAGGCTGAGCCTGGGCTGGGCTCAATGTAGACCGGGCCGTAGGCTGGGCTGGGCCATCCTGGCCCATTTACACCCCTAGTTGGAGTCCCCCGGGATGGAACCCAGCTGTCTTCTTCCCATTTCTTATAAAAAAATAAATAAAAAAACTTTTTTTGTTCTTTATTTGATATGTGACTCAGCACATCTAACAATTCAACAACTAATATTAGTTAACTCTTCGTTAGCTGAGTGAAAAATAAAATAAAAATGATGCAATCCTCGTTTGTCTCGTGGATCATCTAGATAGACGTAGAGGTAAGAAAAGTGTTTTAAAACTTTTATATCAAAGGTCCATATTAATTTTTTAAGGATGCGTGTGGTTAACAGTTTTTTTCTTTTACAAATATTGACACTAACTAATTATTAATTTCGTTCAAATTGGCATTAAAATTATTTGTTCTATATATGTACAAATTATACGATTAAGAAATTAAATTAATATTTTTTAAATAATAAAATAAATTAGTGTTATTTTTATTATAAAAGAGTTAGACTAATGCCGATTTTATAAAGGATTAAATTGATATTACCTTTTGTGACAAAAAAAAAAACAAATTGATATCACCTTTTATAATTTAGTAACTGATTTAATATCAATTTTTTTTTTTTGCAGATAATCAAATTAATTTCACATTTTTTTAACACTTGAATTGGTGTTACTCAAATTTTCACCCTAGGATCTATAGGATGGCTTTTCTAAATTGAGATGTGCACTTTAGAAGAAAAAGTGAATAATTATAATTGTTTATAATAATATTAATAGAGTGAATTTTAATAACTTCATAATTTCTTATATATGTATATGCATTTTATTATAAGTTTAATTATTGATTTAAATCGACGGTCATGATTCCATGTTTTTCCCCTCACTTTATAATAACCAAATCCTAGAATAACAATAATCACACTACAAAAAAATATGCATATAGTGGGGGTCATATGTACAAATAGTGGGGGCCTTAAACCTCCACATACTACATTTGTAGCATTCAACCAACACGCTGGTATGACGTTCGCCACAACATATGTTGTAGCATTTTTTATGCAGCCGCTGGCATGACCTCCAGTATTTGTTGAAGAAATTTGTGGGGGTTATTGACCACCAAAAAATGTTGCATGTTCTGACATTTATAAACCTCTACAAAATGTTGCATGTTCTGGCATTTATAAGCCTCTACAATATGCTTCATTTTGTGACGTTTTCTAATCCCCACAAGTTTCATTTTTTGGCATTTTTTGAACCCCCCTCCCCCCCCCAAAAAAAAAAAACTATCTGTGAGCTATTCCAGTTGTAGTCCCCCCTAATTTTATAGTTGTTGGCATGCATTGAATGTGGTTAATAATTTGAACTTTGCCCCCTCGTGTTTATAACCATCTAAAAGATGATTCCATATGTCTCTAATGCATGCATAGATACATGTAAATGGAACACGTATGTCAACAAACGTGACAGAGAGTTTAAAAAAACTAGAAAACTAATTAGTTAGTTAAGAAAGCTAGGACAATTGAATATTTGTTGGTCACAATTGCCATATAGTAAACAGGTATTTTGTAATTGTACACATTCGAACAGACATAACATTTATCATCTCAAAAAAACTAGAACGCATAAAGGTCATTGCCATGTAAACAATAGTAGGAAAGTTACAATTATCCTAAACCAAAATACACAATACATCCATCTTAAAGCTCCACAATCCACAATATATAGTGTCAACTCATGCGTGGTGTTGGGCCAGCTTCACTTCCTTCATTCTGTCAAAGAACAATTTACTGTACTCTTTTAGAATGCTACAGCGAATAAAGCACTTAACTCAAGAACTTGTATTATATAGAGTTCAATATTAATTAATAACCATATAAATCATTACCATTGGAGTAGAAGCCATGCCCAACAATGCATCCAACTCTAGAGGAATTCTTCCTTCTTTCATTTGTATATAAGCAAGCATTACAGTCTGTAATGTCTTGACAGTTTCCTCTGAAGCTGTTAACTTGGTCTTCAAGGTAATAACTTCTTCTTTCAATTTAGAACTTTCAGCTGAATTCATGCTTGAGAAAGTGGAGCCAATAGGATTAAATCGTCCAGTGGTGAGTCCAAAGGCAATACTAGGAAGGCCACCTAGGCCTAAACCACGTACGCGACCAGAGTGCTCTGGTCCTAAAACTTTTGCAACCGCATCATTTGTTGAAATTTCAATAGAATTAGTGCTCTGACTTAATTCTTCATGAATCTGCTCCTGTACATGTTCAATATTTGTGAGTCTAACATAAAAATGAACTATTTTGGAGACACCTGAGACACTATTTTGGAAATGCTACTGTCCATAATAGTGCCTTATTATATGAAAACAAGTAATAGTTATTATTGCAAATTTTATGCACCACACCACAAATATATATAGATAGACTCACTAGCAATACTACTTAACAATGATGATGCAGATCCAAAATAGTGATACAGACATTAATGTAACTCACCACTATAGCCTTTGTTTCCTCATTGGCATATGATCCGTCTTTTCTCTTATGAGTAGCAATATATAGTTCCCCTAGTAAATACTACCAACTTCTTCATTTCCGGCTTTCGACTTATCCATTTAAATCCAAAAATGAAAATTAAAAAAAAAAGTTGCAAATTTTTTTTTAAAGAAATTAACTTGATTTGGTCTTCACTCTTGATTCTCTCATGGGACATCATTTGCTTATGCATGTATTAATTGTACTATCTATTCTTCCCGGAAAGATATCTTCTAAATCAAGATGTACAGAGTGAACCAAAGATGA